GAAGGAGGAATATTTACCAAGCAAATGGAAAGCAAAAAAAAAAAAGAAAAAAAAAGAAGCAGGGGTTTACAATCCTGTTCTTGGAATAAAAGACTGTTTAATAGACACAAAGATCCAAAAAGACGCAAAAGGAAAGGATCATTACATCAATGATGTAAAGGGATCAATGCCAACAAGAAGAGCTAACGATTTCCTAAATATATTATGTCATCAACACAGGAAGTTACCAGGATTCATAAAAGAAAGTTTCTTTGAGAAACCCACAAAGAGACTTAGACTCCCACACAATTGTGGAAGGCACTCTACACCGCCACTCTCAACTATTTAGGACAGATAAATAGGACAGACACATGGAGACCAAGGATAATCCAGGACTTTGGAACTCATAAGAGACCTGTTGGACAAGGAGAACCCTAACAGACACTCTATAGAACTCTCCGGGGCTCCAAATTAAACAGAATTACATTTCTTCTTGGCACACAGATACACTATATTCTAAAATTCACAGGATAATTGTGTAGTAAAAGCGACCTTCCTCGACCAAATGCAAAAGAATGGCAAATCAAATAATAAAACAGTCTCTCATGACCTCTGTGACAATCAAATTAGAGAACTCAGTGTATTAAGGAAGACTCACTCAACTGTAACTCCCAGCACATCTTGGGAGAGCCGAGCGGTGAGCGGTATCACAAGGTCAGATGAGATCGAGACACGTGAAACCCGTTTTCTGTACTAAAAATACTAAAAAATTAGTCCGGACGCTGGCGGTTGTGGGCGTCCTGTGTCCCAGCTACTCGGTGAGGCTGATGGCTAATAAGACATCAGGAGAATGGCGTGTTGAAACCCGGAGCCGACGGGAGATTGCAGTGTCAGTGAGCCGTGATCACGCCATGGCACCTCCAGCCTGGGTGGACAGCGAGACTCCGGTCTCAAAAAAAAAAAAAAACAAATAATGAAACTCACTCAAAAACTGCACAACTACTCATGGAAATTTGTAACAGACCTGCTCTGCTGATACGGCTAAACTGAGGTAAATAACACAATCATAGGGCGAGAAATGAATACTAGTTTCTTTGGGAGACCCAATGAGAACAAAGGACAAACGTACCCAGAAATCTCTGGAAGACGCCACCCCATTAATAAAAAATGTCTAAAGCAGTTTTACGCGGGAACATTGATAAGTACTTAAATGCCCCCAGGGTGATGAAAGCTGGAAAGATTTAGAAATCAACACCCATAACATCACGAGTTTAGATGTAACTTAGAGATGCAAGAGTCAATCAAATTCAAAAGCTGAGGGGCAGTTAAGACAAAGACAAATAAACTGTAAGATCAGAGCAGAACTGTAAAGATGACTAGAGACACGAAATAAAGTCCCCTTTCCCGATAAATCTACAGTGAAATCCAGGATAGCTCGTTTTTTGAAAATATTCAAAAATAAAAATATGACGGTTCATACCCAGGATAATAAGAGAAGAAAAGAAGAAGAAGAATCATAGACACAATGCAAACATATGGTACCAAGAGGGGGGCAGGGGTGTGTGTGGCATGTGCCTATTTGCTTAATCCGCAAAGCCACTTTGGGAGGCGCAAAGGCGGAGCAACTGTAGCCCTCCCCTGATCATACGAAGGGTCATGGGATGTTTCGGACCACAGCCTGGCCACATGGTGAAACCCCAACTCTACTAAAAAAAATCAATAAATTATAGCCAGGCATGGTGGGAGTGTTCATGTAGTCCCAAGCAACTGTCGGAATTGACGTATGGCTAAGGCAGGAGAAATCGCTGCTGAACCAGTGGAGTGTGCTCAAGTTAAGCTGATGATGGACAACACACTACTTTCCACAGCCTGGTGCCCAAAAAGAGAGTGAGATCTATCTCAAAAAAAAAAAATAAAAAAAGAAAAAAAAGATAAAAGGGGATATCACCACTGATCCACAGAAATACAAATACCGCAGAGATTACTATAAACAGCCCGCTATGCAAAATTAAACTAGAACAATCTAGAAGAATATGGATTGAATTTGCCTGACATAATACACTGTGTTGTTCACCTATGTTCACTGGAAGATGTGTTTCTTTGTTATGTCTTTAAT